GGGGGGTGACATGGGGGAAAAGCAAGCAATTTTGAGATCAGGGCTAATAGAAAAAATTTTAACAAAATTCACCTAGACATTTTCCCAATGAAGCAACCATTGTTAACACATTCAAAGGAATGTGATCCCACATAAAATAACAGTTTTTAGATTGGCCAAGTGGTTAAGTTGGAAGTCCTCAATGATTAACCAAGAGAAGACTGTCAACCTTGGTGAATGAAGAAACTGTGGGTGAAGTCCAGTAATGGGTAGAAGACAACTAGAATTATCATTGATGTGAGAGTGATTAAAGCTAGGATCGCACATGGTCCAACACTATTAATCTTAAGGGAACATCTTAGCTTCTGCAAGCTTCTGGGCCACTGGGTGCCAGTGATGCACGAGGACCAGCAAGTTAAAGAGCTGATCTTTCCTTCCGTTTTTAAGGCACCATTTAAGCTGGGATGACTCAACACTGGGGACATGTCAATGCGATTAAGAAAACAAAGTCCAATCCAAATAGCGGCATCTGAGAGGATCTACCAGGCCAATTAGGCTTAAGGCAGAGAAGTCAGTTAAGAATGTTATGGCTATAGCTTTTGGGGGGACCCCAGAAGAGTAATCTGGAGAGAATTTCTCAAAAAACAGGTTGATCACGGGGACTTAGGAAGAATTTCTAAGATGGAAAAACTGCATTGGTAAGCAGCAGCCCAGGAAGGTCGAGCTTAGGGAACTGTCTCCATCACAGTGCACCTGCTCATGCTTCAAGGGTTGTGCTATGAGAATTCCATTGGAAGACCTTAGCCCACTTGCCCTACAATCTTTATCTTGCCCCTTTAGAACGCTTTTTGTACTCCCTACTCAACATTTTTAAAAAACCCAAGAAGAGTTTGCATTGAAGAGTACAAAACCTTTTGGGGAAGGATTACAAAGATGGGCACACCACTTTCAGAGGTGTATGGGCATGGATGGGTGCTACAGTGAAAACCACTATCTTCACATTTTGACTATATATATTCATATAGTTTATAGATAAACTTTTTTTTTTAAATAAAGATTTCCTGGATTCCGTAGCAATACTTTTGGACTTACCCTCATACAGTTATGTAAGATGTTAACAATAAGGAAAACTGAGAGGTGTGTGTATACATATAATTTTTTGTGTACAACTCTAAAATTAGTTCTACATAAAGTTAAAAAAATAGTGCAACTGTGGTTTTCTTCCTTTCTCCCTGTGTAGCCTCCGCCCCCCCTTCCCCAGCTGCATTCATGTAGGGAAGCAGCAGGGGGTTAAGGGGAGACAAGGAGAGATATAAACAGGGGGAGGAGAGGAAAGGAGAAAGGGAGGAGAGCAGGAGAGAGAGGGGAGGATGGGGGAGAAGCAGAGTTGGAGAGCAAGGCAGCCATCTCAATATTCTTGTAGGCTGAGCACAGGTAAGTGGGCAGCACCGCTCTGATGGATGCATGACACAAGTCCACTCAGCCCTCAGTCAGCCCCTGCCTCCCTCCCTCAATCCCTTGTAACTGTTGAGGAAGACAGAAGAAGCAGTACTCCTGTTTCCCCTGTTGTGTAAGTCAGTAGTGCTGTAGGCCTGTCCATGGCAGCGGGCTGATCTGAAGCCATCCATATGGCACAGGGCTCTAATAGGAAAATCCTTTTCTTAGCTGGTGCCAGGCAAATGTGAGTAACTTAAAAACAGGATCAAGCCTAAAGTCACTGTGAGCACTAAGAAATAACAGTGAATTGATTGTAAGTAGCTGCAGCTGTGGTGACAATAATTGTAGCTATAAGACTCACTCAACTTTCAAAACCTAATAGCTCAACTGTAGCAAGTAAAACCAGCACAAAAAATTTAGCCTCTAATTGGACCTGACACCACAAATCTGTTTAGCTAGGTTCTGGGCTAAAAGGCAAAACTGGAGGAATAGAACATTTTCCACTTGTAACTTTTATTTGAGTTCTAACCAAGGGGGACGACCACCGACAGTACTGGAACACACAGCTCAATGGTGAAAGTAAAAGCGGACTTTAGTTAACATGTCTTCCACTGCCTTACTTACTTGCTATATAGGCGCTTGGGACAAACAAACAAACAAAGTCATTTCACTCCCTAAGCTTCCACGAGAAATAGAATCTAATGAGTAAATTCTAACACACTCCCCTCCTCTGGTGACCATCTTGTGAGGGGAGCAGTTATTAAGAACTTGAATGGATTAAATCAGTCCACCCCCAAAAGCACACAGCAATTAGATAACAATCGAGGTAACTGAGATTGGGGAGGGGGCACTGGCTGCACCTTAACGGGTCCCAGGACTGGCAGGACTCCTGTCCCAAAGGGGGAGTCTGGGAATGGACATGGGTAGAGTTGGTGGGGTGCCAGAACATAGTGCCCTTGACCAGGTCTCAAAAGAAGTCAATGGGACCTACAGGTGAAAGAGGCTTTTGTGACGGGAAGGGGGAAACAGAGATTTTTGTGAAAGGGAATGACTGGTGGCCAAAGGTCCTTTCTGGAATCCATGCTCTCCGACAAACAAGACAGAGTCTGGAGTGCACAGTGAAAGCCAGGGCGTCTTTACTGTAGTGAGTGCAGCAGACAAACAGTTTACAACAACCTCTAGCATTTTCTTACCGTCGGATAAAAAGTTCACTATAATATTTATTGTATAATGAAGAAAAAACACATTCAGGGAAAAATTGGGGTTAACTTATTTTTCTTAAAAGGTTCATCTCAAGGATGGCAACAAAGTCCAGCTTGTGCCGCCAAACGGTTTTACATGATCAAACCGTGTACAGCTTCTTGTGTGAACTGTTGACTACAAACATTTACCAAATACATAAATCTCTTTTAAAAAAGCCATTTTAAATATAGCAAAGCAGTGTCTTCTTGCACAGCAGTGAAGAAAGGTTCTACAGAGAAGTAAGTTTTACATTTGTAAAATCTTTTTCACATTCTAATCATCTAGCTTCTCATGACCCGATGCCAGGAGTTTCAGGTTCCTTATTTACTATGTATTTCTTGTGCGCGTGATGGTTAATACAGAAACTATGCTAATGAATTATTAGTTGTCCTTATAGCTGAAGGAAATGGTAAAGCATATATTGTTCTTTTCGAACAACCCCTGATTCAGTCTCTAGCACAATGGACACAGTGAGGGCTCAGAAGATGGAGTTTCGGTTGGGGCCATTTGGGTATGTCAATGGTGACTTTCACTCTCAGTGTAATACCAGTTGTAGTGTTGTTGGGCAATGTACTTTGCCCAGTATAATTTATTCTAATCTTTTAAAAAATGTTGCCTTTGCATAATAAAATACTTTGTGTGAAGGTAGAACTTTTTCTTGCAATGGTGTCTTATACAAAGCACATGAATCTAAAAGGATAAGAAAAGTAGGTTCTAAAGTAACACCATCAGTGTGTTCCCACTCCAAGTCTGTTTCCACTGAGAGATGTGTATGTGTATGTGTTTGCACATGGGTGTCTGTCTGGAGAAGGACGTCTCTGTCAAGTCCATATGCTCCAAATCATAATGGGCATATGGGATAAGGTTAACAGTCAAATATTCAGTTCCTGAAAACGGAATAAATTGTTACCTGGTAATTTTACAAACTCCGAGCCTGTGTAACATTATTTTAGAAAACAGTAGTTGTACTGATTATAAACCTGCATAGAAAGAAAGACTATTGAGATACAGTCAGAAAAGCCATCTCATAAGGCACACAAGAAAAGACAGTAAATGTGAATATGTTAACTCCTATCCCCATGTACAGCAGAAGTTCATGAACATGCATAAATAATAATGAAAGAATCACTTAACACGTTCAAAGCTATAAATGATTTACAAAGTGGTAAGGATTATCTTGGAAATTCAGTGTTGGGGGACTGTTGCGATTAGGTATGACTTTATGAAGAAATGTGGCCACAAGCAGTTTAGTATAAATCGTACATTTTAAAAGAAAACCAATCTATTCTGAACAAAAGCCAAATATCTACACAGAAGAGGGAATATTATGCTCCCCTTTTTGGCTTCTATTAAGAGTTTACCACCCAAAATGCCATTAAAACAAGAAGCCTCAGTTTGCAGCCTCTGACTGATGTAGGTATACCCTGTACCCAAGATCTGTGTTGCAGTCAGGAAATGTGGCTGATTTGTCTATTTGTCACAAATAGTAAAAAGGAAACTGTCAAAAAGATAGTAATTCAGGGGAAGGAAACAAAATGGAATAGTTTATCTGAAAGGAGAAGTAAAAATTGTAGGTAGCTTCTCAATATTAAGTTTAAAATATAAAATAGCCATTTTTAAACCCTTCTTTTGGGTTTCTCAGGAAAACGAGTATTGAAAATCTGTAATCAAAGATATGCAGGACTCCGAATTTTTGTTCATGGCACAGGTCCAGTGAACAGAGGAACTAGCTATTACCAATTAATCTTTCTGTAAGAACAAGGCTCCACTAATTTCATTCGGGATGGCAAGAACCATGACAAGGATCTGCAGCTGTGAGAGAACTTCTCCCGTCCCTCACACACACACTCAGTGTCATCTTGACACACATAATCGTGAACAATGCCAGCATACTGGAACCAGCTGCAGCACTATTTTTAGAGGGTTGAGGAGAAACGAAATCCCTTCCCCCATGAATGCTTTTCCTAATAATTTACCACTTATAAAACCTTTGTGCTCATCTAATATTTTGTCATTTTTCTCTAATATTAATTAGGTCAGCTTTTTCCACTATATTTTTCCTCACAAAAGGCAAACTTTAAATAATGCCTTATAAAATCCGCTACAACACATTTTATATTTATGCAGGATGAAGGTAACACCAATTTTTTTGCCACTTTGCTATTTATGTACATACATATATATATAAAATATATAATGATGCTCAACCCAAACAGCACAAAGATTACAAGGTAACATCACACATTCACCACCAGTGAGGGGAGAAACCCCTTTATACAATCCTCTGGAAAAAACTGGGCTAATAATTAAAATCCAAAGTACAGTATATTTAACAAAATAGTAAGTATTAAACAGTGAATACTCTACGAATAAGGACCTCACCTTTCCCCCGCAGCCCCATTGGTGGCAATCCACAAAAATATACTTTTAAATCTGGTGACCATACAATACATAGGTACATACATCAAAGGTGATAATATATTTAAGATGCTATATACACAAAGTGTTTGGCTCAACTTTTAATTTACACATAGGATAATAAACATTCATGGCTTATTTTTTCCAAGGTTCTGCTTGCAAGATATTTTTGTTTGTTTTTCCTCTTAAAATAAAACTAAACAGTTAAAACAAGATAAAGCTATTCATTCTTAAAAAAAATTAAAGAAAAAAAAGGAAAACATACAGCTTTGGCTTATATAAATAATTCATAGCAGAATGTGTTCAAATGTAGTGAATATAATTTTATATATAATCATCAACTCATAAGGGTATTTTATTTCATATAAAATATACATGAGTTAAATTGTTTCTTTAATTTTTAAGATATGAATGTAAAAAGAAACTTCTGATATATTCCAATGATAACTTAATATATTAGTTTTACTTTGTTAATGCTCTATGTTTTTAGGCTAGTATTTTCTGAATATCTCATGCGTGGTTTTCTATTCTCTTTCTTTTTCTTAGCTAAAAAGATCATTTCTTTGACCCAATACATTTTTTGCACGTGCAAAACAGTTATGTGCGGGACTTAAAATTAATTTTTTTTAATTTTATTATCAACAGCCCTTTCCCATGCAACCCTTTGCAATATAGACCCATGCCAGGTTGGGTAATTAATATAAATGACATTTTATGTACAGTATTGCTTTCTTGGTTCCTGTTTCTACTGCTCTGTTCTACAAAGCATTTTTAAGTACTACAGTCACTGCACATTTAAATAAAACGAGTAGGGGCCCTCTAGGTTTCTGCAAGCTAGTGTGGGAGAATTACATATGGGAACACATTTCTTTGCGAAAACTGGTTTCTTATGAAACAAGTAATCCACAGACGTGTCAGACTAGGCCTCTGCCTACAAAGTGTCTTGTTTGCCATAGGACGCACATCTGCGGATCTTCAAGGAGTTTGCAGGTAAGTGCCTGATTCTGTGTCTCCACACACACCAACACGCACACTCACAGCCACACCCACATACATATACATGTATGTATGTACATATAAATATACTTAACTCATATCCTTATTGACCAATTTAGATATGTAGGGCAGTTTACTGCAATAACACAAAGTACAAAGGGCGGCCCTAGAAACCTTAGGTAACCCATGCGTCCATCCGCATCCTCTTCACAGAAGGGCTTTCTGTGTCTTCCGTATTTGGGGGTCGGCCCAGCACAACTGGAGAATGGAAGTCGCCCCGTGGGTCCTCCCGGTCACTGCCATCGTAGGAGCTACTAGAGCTGCTCAGACTGTCCACAGGGGACCGCCCCATTTCCTGCCGGGGCTGAGACTGGGGCTGCAGGGGCTGTGGCTGTTGCTGGAAGCCTGATGGGGTCATTCGATCCCGGGGAGGTGAAATTGGTTCTGACTTAATGTTGATGTTTTGGTTGGTATTAATGGATAAATTTGAACCCTGAGATAACTGCCCTCCAGCACTGAAGGGAAAGAGAGAGAGAGATGTTAGATGGTTGTGTACGCATCTGCATAATTAGGGATATTACAGACACTGCCTGACTAAAAATAGTCCACTGTCTCAGATAATAATGAGATCCTGTCATCATTCCCAAATACTGGTTTTTAGTGTTTCCTTCAGTGGTTGGTATAAGAAAACCATCAAGCTGAACCTTTTATTAGTGGTTCTCAAAACTCACTCTCACTACCATCCAGTTGATACTGACTCATGGTGACCCCATAGGTCAGGGCAGAACTGCTCCTGTGGGTTTCCAAGACTTACTCTTTATGGGAGTAGAAAGCCTGGTCTTTCTCCTGAATTTCTGGTTGTAGGCCTCCACCACTTTGACATTTCTGTAGCTATAAGACTGTGTTGCTGGCTAATGCACGAACAAAAAAAGTAGAGGGGAAACTCGGATTCTGTGGCAACTTGGATCCCCGGTGCTTGCTTGCTATTCTTCCTGTACATTTTCTTAGGCCAGGGCAGGATAAGAGACACAGCATCTCATCACATCCTTACAATTCTAAGGGGTTATTTTCCAAATGATGGCTCAGTCTCAGAAAGGCTAAGTAACGTGCTCAGGGAGGTCCAGTACAATGTGGTACAGCTTTTCCCCAGTTCTGAGCTTCAAGCCATGCCCTGTCCACTGGCTTTTCCAGGGTTATCTTTAGTGTATTCATTTAAGAAGCTTAGTATAAGCCTAAGGGACAAACACCTGATCCAGGCAAAGAAATTTCCCTGACATAATTCCCTAGAAGACTACTGATAACAATGTGCACTAGAGTTATTTTGAATATAGAAAGGATAGGGTTTGCCGAACTAAGGTTCTCTGGGAACTGTCAGAGTCAAAAGCCAGGGACCTCCTACTTTTCAGAGCAGAAAAGCAGCCAGCCCACACGGAGGCCCTGGGTCTGTTTCACTGTGCCCCCTTCTGCAACACACTCCTCCCACTAATCCACAGATATACCACAGCACGGTCCCTCTTCCTTTCTGTTCAGGAAGCTGATCCTTTTGCTCATACCCCCTCTGATGCAATGAGTTAGGCCAGACACATAGATCCTATGTAACCTGATGGACACATAAGGAATTCCCCCCTTATTTTCGTCCACAATATAGGGAGAAGGAAAAAGGCACAGCACGTTTTCCTGTTCTCCGTATCTCTCTTATGTGAGGAAACTTCAAAATGTTTGTGAAAAATGGAAGAGAAATATAATGGAATTTTCCCACAAACTTTTTGAAGCCCCCCTCGTATTATCCACCAAGCTAAAAAGGCAGGGTGGTGGATGGGACTGTGTACCTTCCAGCTCCCTTTCTTCAGACAGGACAGGCACAGCCAGGTCTTGGGAAGCAGAGGGTATCATTCACTGAGCAGTAGGTAAAAGATGGGATGCAATGGTGGCATCTGGGCCTTGTTGTCCCCTTAGACTACCACTAACAGGGTCTCTCTACTTTCTCTAAGTCCATATAAGAAATGCCTTGTGCCCTAAATGCCGTTAAGGAATACATAGTTTGTTGAGCATCCAAGAAAATACTTTCTCTAAATACATGTATCCAACTAAAAAAAGCATCATTGCAGGACAACAGACATGCAAGCCAACAGAACAAAAACTAAGAAATGAGATGGTGGCATACTGAGAGCAAAGACTTGGGGAAATTGTTCTAGGTACTCACACAAGAGAACTGAGGGCTGCTTGTCCTAAATGGTGCTGCTGCCAGGCTGACACCTGTCCCAGAGACAGCATTCCTGGGGAGTTGAAACCCTGTAGGGCCGATAGGTCCGCACTAGCCAGTGAATAATCTAAAAAAGGAACAAAATACTGTTTTGTGTATAATGACAGGATGAAAAGAACTCACATTCCACAAAGTCCATGCAAAACCTGTTCTTCAAACAATAGCTTTAAAGGTTTCTTGGGTGAGAGAAGCCAAGTACTTCATAACAAAAAACAACACACTTATGGGTCTGAACCCCACAATTTTTTCTTTTCGTAGGTTTAAATTATCTAGGTATATTTAGTTGTCTGAGATTATTAAAATATAACAAAAATCAAATTTGCAAAAACCCTTATAGTTCACAAAAGTTCAATGCATTCTTATGCCCCCATTACTTTCAATAAATGTGTGTTCCACTGTCCTGAACAAAAAGAAACACTGCAGCGCACACAAACCAAGTCTAGAACAGGAAGCCTCATAGCCCATCCCTCAGGTAGAGGTGTGCGGAAAGCCAGAAGGGGACAGTATTTCTTCTACTTTAAGCTCATCATTAACACTTATCTATTTAGTTCTAAAGAGAGGTGATAAGAACTTTTCTACTTTTAACTTCATTCTTCTCTCCAGAGAGCTGTCTGAAGAACTTGGTGTGCCCGGTGAGTCCAGGGTTTTAAAAAAGGAACTGAGTTGAGACAGCAACGTTGGTGGTCAGGGTTCTGTTCTGAAGCCATTCTTTTCTCATTCCAGTTGCTCCAATAGGACCACCACCGTCCCCGCCGAGGCTGGAGGCAGGGAGGTCAGCTGCACTGACTCACGGTGACCCTTGCAGCCCACAGCCTCCTTCCACGAGCTCAGCAGTGGAAGCCAGCAGCTGCTCTGCGGGGGAAAGCTGGGCTCTCCTTGCGGGAACTCACACGGGAGTTCTGTACGGCCGTCCCAGGTCGCCGCGAGTCAACACGGACTCGGTGGCAGCGTGTCTGTTTCGATTTCATGTCCTTTTCCAGTGAGATAGTTTATTGTGCCAGCCTGGCTGATAAACGCAGGTGGGATTGACTGAGGGGCGGAGAGATGGATGGCTTGGTGAGCCTTCCCTTTCTTGTCTCTCGCTCTGTGATCATCGGACCAGTGTGCGGCTGCCTTGCTTGTTCTGTGCCTCAATTTACAGGCTACACTGCCTGTGGGACGCCGAGCCTGTGGACTGTGTTGCTGTAAGCTGAGGTCCCTTTAAGACATCTCTGGACTGGCGATTGGTGACCTGCCTTGTGATTGGCTGCTGTGCTGACATAGCCTAGCTCTCTCTACAAATGGAGGAAGATCTGGCAGCAGATAGACTTGAAGGACTGCTAGTCTCTCAACTTTCTCTCACAGACGTGAGTTGCACTAAGCCATTTATAGTGCTTCTAATTTAACTGTTTATTTCTTGTATTTTATATTTATCTGTATATGATTTACAGTTCATTTCTCGTTATATATCTAATTATCTTTATAAATAAATATATTATATTATCAGGAATTTGGTTTTATCTCTCTAGAGAACCCTATCTAACACATCCAGGGACTGGTTTCTCTGAATAATATGTTCGAAAGATGTGAGACAAAGTCTCACCATCCTGCCTTTCCAAGGAGTATTCTTACTGTACTTGTTTGTTCTTTAGGCAGCCCATGGTACTTTCAGTATTCTTCGCTGGCACGGTAATTTAAATGCACTAATTCTTCTTTGGTCTTCCTTGTTCAATATCCAACTTTCATATGCATATGAAGCTACTGAAAACACCATGGCTGGAGACAGAAATACCTTAGTCCTCAAAAGTGCCATTTTTGCACTTCAACACTTTTAGGGTCTTGTGCAGCAAAACCTAATGCAATACATCATTTTTCTTTCTTGGCTGCTACTTCTGTGAGCACTAACTATAGATTCAACCAAGAAGAAATTTTAGACCACTTCAATCTTTTCTCCATTTATCAGGATGCTATCTATTGGTCTAGTTGTGAGGATTTTGGTTTTCTTTACAGAGTTGTAATCCATATTGAAGGCTGCAATCCTTGATCTTCATCAGCAAGTGTTTAAAATCCTTCTTGCTTTCACCAGGCCAAGTTGTATCACTGGTATACTGCAGGTTGTCAAGAAGCCTTCCTCCGATCCCGATGCCCCATCCTTCCTCATATAATCCAGTGTCTCCGATGAGTTGCAAAGCATACAGATAGAATAAGTATGGTGAAAGTACATACCACCAAAGCACACCTTTCCTGATTTCAAACTGCCTCTTGATCATGCACAGGTTCTGCATAAGCACGATGAAGTATTCTGGAATTCCCATTTTGCTCAGAACTATCCAGTTTATGATACACAGAGTTGAAGACCTTTGCACAGTCAATAAAACACAAGTAAACATGTTTCTAGTAGTCTATGCTTTGAGCCATGACCCACCTGATGTCAGCAATGATACCCCTCATTCTATTTCCTTTTCTTAATTTGTCTTAAATTTCTGGCCAAAAAAAAAAAAAATTCTGGCAGCTCCCTGTCAATGTACTGCTAGAACAAACAGTTGAATGATCTTCAGCAAAATTATACTTCTCAGTAATATTGATGATATAGTCAGAAAATGTATGAACTGAACATAAAACCAATGGATCTGCTTTGTAAAATTCATTTAATTCAGAATAAAAAGTTAAAAAAAGAATAGGTATGCAATAATAAAACCAAAATCCTCAACATGGGCTACAAATCCATACTTACCACTCTAATCATCTTCACCTGCTGCTCTACCTCCAGCCATACTGGCTTCTTTCAGTCCCTAAGTACAACCATGTTCCTTCTGTCCCCTAGCCCTTGCACATGGTATTTCCACTGCCAGGAACACTCTCCCTACCTAAGTCATAAAAGCCTCCTTTTAGGTCTAAGCTTAAAAGTATCACTTGACACACTGCAATAAATTATTTACACCATTTCTTTTACATATTTCTTTTCTAAGAGATCCTAAGTTCCATTTTTAATTATGAATTTTTGTGTTTCTGGTGCCGCCATGTTACTTGCCACACAGTAGATGATCTATGTTTGCTGAAGAACATGCATGAAGCTGGGAATGATCTTACTGATGGGCAGGTCTGTTTTACTTTCTGAAACACTGCTCATTGACTCATTCAATCTTTTATCAACCATCTGGTATGCGTTTGACACTAAATATGCACAAGAAGGTAGGTATAACATAAAGAGACTTTCTACAAATGTTAAGTACAAAGAGATAAGCCAATTAAAGACCATGAGGTACAACCCCACCGAATAGGTTCTGTGATGAGTGTGCAATGATAGCGCCAGTTAAGAGGAAAACTGGGACTGCAGCTGAGTAACTGATGAACAGGAGACCCTGACTCCAGCTTCCTATTTTGGTACATCCGCTAAACTGATAATAAATAAGTTCTTTTCTTGTCCAATGGCATTTCTAAAAATGGGCACCATAGAATCTAGGAATGATGAAGAAACTTTTAATGAAATTCCTAAGGAGCTGTAATTTGGCTTCAACATTCAGTTCAAGTTACATCTCAGCCAATATTTATCTACACACTTTAGCTTGCAGATCTCTCTCTCCATTCCTTCTCCGGTCTCAAGAGGGTACATGGATAACCTCAATCACTCCAGACTTCCTCATCCATGGTTAGCAATTTAGCTACGTCCTATGTCCTATCTCCTTAGGTAGAAGTCCCTTGGGAGAAAGATTATCTGCAGAATTGTATCTCCCATATGTGTAATCACTGACTATACTTAGTCTGTGTAAGAACCTTAGTCTGTGCAATCATATCAGGATATAATTCACAGAAATACAACTTGTCTGTTGTTAATGAATTTAATGATTCTATTTTGGAATAGGTAATACAATTTTTCTGAAATGCTTTTTTTATTGCAGGCCTGTCTGGATAGGACAGGCTGGATGAACAATCTGGAGGAGAAAACAACGGGACTGACAGTTCCGGGGGGACATGGGAGAGGGGGA